AGGGGCAAGGGAATTTATTTTCCTATAATCAATGTCGTCAAAAGGTCCAAACACGATAACTTGAGTCAGGGGCTATGACCCACTCGATATGGTGAGCTTGATTCTCGTAGAAGGACATTCAACAATATGAAGTTCTTCAATCAAAGCTGCAGTCAACTCCTAACATCTTCTTGTGTTTACCTCGTGAGATCCTTGAAATCATTTACACATCATGCATGTCATTACATAACAGGTCTTCCAGTACAGGTCTCTCATGTTCTCGCTGTTTATTTCAGCAAGGAAAATGGCTTTCAAATAGAACAACAAAGATCTCCAAACTCAAGAGGCTCAGTTCATGGAAATGTTCTTCAACATATCCAAGGGGCAAGAAGAGTTGAAAGCACTCCTCAACAAGAACTTGACCAAGAAACATCCTGACAACAATAAGAATGATCAGTTAGAACAACTACAAGCAGAAATGGAAAGGATGAGAGTACAAATGAGTAGTCAGATGGCTCTTATCCAAAGTTTAGCTCAGGAACAAGAAGAGTTGACGTTTCTCATTAGCAAGCTTCATCAAGACGGATGCAACCGTATGAAGTAAATGGTCGAGGCTGGGGATCAGGTCATTAATCATCCCCTGATGAGACAAGAAGTTGGCTTGGTGGAGAGTAGACCTTCCCAAATTGCTGCTACATCACGAACTCAACCGCCACCTCGCCAACAACGGCAGGGTAATCGGCATAAGTGGGATGCATTCACTAGGAAATATACCAAACTCAACATATCAATGTCGCAAGTCTTGCAACACATGTTGAAGTTGAATTTGGTCACATTGAAGGATCCTCCTCGGAATCCAAATACTTTCGCTCCTACTTACCATCCCAATGAAAGGTTTTCATATCACTCCGATAGCTCGGGGCATGATACTGATAACTGTTGAACATTGAAATATGAAATTCAAGACCTTGTTGGTGAAGGAGCACTGGAATTTGCACAAGATGGTCAAGTGGAATTCTTCTGCCATTCCTTAAAGGCACACCATTTGAAGTGACAAGCCAAGACAAAAAGGCTTTTTGTTCATCTAGAATTTTCAATTTGTAATTTCTTTTGATTGTTCAAACATTTGTTTCATGTCAAACATTTTTATTTTATCAATGCTTTGCATATGTTTGTCTTGAATTAATTCATTCGTATTCACTATATTCAAACTGTGTTTTTACTTCCTTTTGGTGATATTCAACTCTCGATTAAAAGCTCTAAGCCTTTAGAGGGAGGATGACAAAAACAATACCATAATCTCATACATTATGCTTTTGAATAGACCTTGCTGACGATGTACATGTGTTGTTTCAAATCCTAAACAATGTATTTATAAGGAACATAATCCCTAGTCAACCCCTTTGAGCCAAAGAAGTAGGAGTTTTTCTTTTCACACAAATTAAAACCCTTAATCATAACCTGGGGCAGGGTAGTTTTCTCAGTTAATTCAGATGCACATTCAGTCGCAATCTTCCACTTCATACATAATGAATGGCATCAAAGACGTCCTTCTAAGATGGTGATAGGTCTGCATAATCATTAAAGTCGGTAGTCATTACCTCTCAAAATAAAAGTCTGCTAAGTCAAAACCTATGAAGGAGACTTAAGGAAAAAAAACTGGGGCATCCCGCTAACTGTAATCACAAAAAGAACCAGTTCAGGAAAAAGTAGGGATAACAAAAACAAAAAAAGAGGTTACTACAAATCCTAGACAAAAAGAAGATTGCAAAAATGACTGCCTCTTCAAAATAAACTTTCAGTATCCGAACCATCACCGGAATATCAAGGACAAGATGCCAGACTCAATCGAGATTTAAACGCACAATTAACTGAACATAGGACTGAAGAACATCATGAAGAGTGGGTTGGGTACAAATAAAATTTGAGCCTTTATCCTTTGTTTCTTAAAACCGTGAACTAGGCCATGTTACAAACCTTAAAAGTCCTAACTAAAGCATGGGTTAGTTTGGAAACCTGCTGTTACAAAAGGTATCTTGACTCCTGTAACGTTTTCTATTAAATCTTGAGTTGATATCACACTCCTATAAATTTGTTTGTTTTACTAAAAAATGAATTTTCAAACTTCAAGACAGACATAAGCTTTGCATTTTTAAAATACCATTGCTTGCATATAACTATTTGTTCAACAACAGAGAAATTCGCAGACGAATATTCAATGAATGAAAATCCTCTCGATGAACAGAATCACCTCAGATGGAAAGACATTCCAATAACAGACCTTTCATAATCAAGGGGCATAACATGGTGTCCCACTGATCTGGGGAAGTCAAGTCAAGATTCAAGGAATCTCTCAAAAATGCTAAATAGCCAGGGGCAGATCTCCATCTGAGTCACCTGGGGAATTGGACATGAATTCCAGCAACGAATCATATACGATCAAACAAACATCTTCTAAAAGTGTGGAAACACTTACTACTATGGACAATGACAATTCTCCGTACCCGGTGAACGTGGACATAGTCGGATAATACTACGCATGAACAAAGACCCGCTAGTTTGACTGGCCTAGGCAAAAATTAGGGATATACATATGAAAAAAATAATTACACCCGGCAAGTCGAAAACATGAAAAGGCGGCTTGGGAAAAAGAGTATCCCAGTGGACTGAAAATCTGAAAGGACAGTCCAGGAAAAAGTTAAGGATTAAAGCGTATGACTATGTCCAGTCATCTCGTCACTTGTCTATCAGAAGAAGGCTGATCACCCTGACCAACATTTACTCAAGACTCTAGGAGTTGGGATAACATTCAAACCATCAGAAAATCCCCATAGAGTAACCACCCTTAGGGGACTATCTTCGCAGAGTTCATCATCAGTAAGGATACGTTCCCCAGTAGGTATGGAGACAGAAACATCCTCCCGCAAAGTCATTGTCATGTCTTCAGTAATAACCTAACAATTTCATACATTCCGACATCTTCATAATAGATCAAAAGCTTCAATCATCTCCCTAACATCTTGGAGATTTCTTTGACTTGGTTAATAAACTTCTTGGGTTCCCCAACAAGACTTCATAAAAATCCATGTCCTATTGAAGGTTTTACTCACGAGGTTTATACTCTATTCTCACCCCAATAATTTATGATTGTCAAAAGGAAGAATAATACCTTACAAGAAATGGCAAAACTCGTGATATATTCCATAATACTTCCTATTAGGATTCCTTCTAAGATTTTGGAATTTTTATTAATCAAAATCAGGTATTGTGCTTGTTGAAGATGAAATTAGTGTTCTTCCTAGTCTATTGTGTTTCAGTTATAAACAGTGTGTCGGTTAACATGTCTCAAACATTGTTCTTCACAATACTCCATACTGTAATGAGCCTAGTCTAGATACTCGTGAAGATGTTCTTGACGCCCTCCCATGTATGGGCATGTTAGAAGGCATATCAAAGTTCTTATGCAATAATTTGAGGCCTTACATGAATAATTTCTACTTCCAATACCATAAAAGTTGTGATTCAAATTTTGAATCAAAAGGTTTCTGATATGCCATCTTCTCAAGCTATTGTACAAAATGCAGAGAAATATGTTAATACATTAGTTGTGTATAAAAACTTAATAAGTAGGGATAAAGGGATATTGCAGGGTTGTTCCATTAATAATAGGGCATCTATAATGTTAACAAGCACACACAATCTTTGATGGAATCCATTGAAGTCTTGGTTATTGATGTTCAATCTGAAGTGACTCCCCATGATTATGAAGATTTTGATAACATAGGTAATAACTTACAGTCAGTTGAAGTAAAGAAAGTTGCAGTTGAAAAGTATGTGGTTAAAAGAGAATTTTCACCAAAAAGAAAGAAGTCTCATATAGTAGAAGATGTTAACAATAAATTGAATGGCACAGAGGTGTCCTTGATCAAGAAAAGTAATGAGATTGTTTCTATAAAGAAGGCATGAATTTTAGCTCAAGACGGTGCCCAAATAGGATGGTTTGAATTTTATAATGCTTTTGCTCCTATTACCCTTCTTGAAGCCATCATATTGTTACTTGGAATATTTGTCTCCTTAAGTTCAAACTCTACCAAATGAATGTGGAAAGTGCCTTCCTCAATAGTAACTTGGAAGTGGAAGTCAATCATGATGTTAGTAATGATGTCAACAACATGGAACATATCATTGTGAAAAACAATGGAATTCTTATGATAGTTCAGGATTTATGTTGACGACATCGTGTTTTGAAGGAAGTCAAGTAAGATGTTATATCAACTTGTTCAACAAAGGAAAGTTGAATTAAATATGAGCATGGTAGGATAACTTACCTACTTTCTTGGTTTTCAAGTGAAGAAAATGAAGGATGGCATATTTGTTTCCGAAAGTAAGTATTCTATAGACATTGTGAAGAAATTGGGTTGGAAAATGGTAGGCAAAAATATACACATATTGTTACTCATGTCAAGGTCCCTAAAGATGAACAAGGTGCAATTATTGATCAAATCCTCTATATAAGTATGATTGGTAGCTTCTTATATATCCCCGTTAGTCGTCCCGACATTAATTTATTTGTTGTTGTGCATGTGTGTTTTCAAGCCAATCCTAAAATTACTCATCTTACTCAAGTCGAGATAATCATTAAGTACATAAGTGGAACATGTTACAGTGGTCTTTTATACTCTTTTGATACCAACTCTTCTTTAGTTGGATATTGTGAAGCTGATTAGGCCGAATCAAAGTATATTGTTTCTAGAAGTAGTTGCACTCAACCGTTGTGGAGTAATAAATGCTCAAAGATGCTACACAGGGTGTCATGACATTATTCTTTGACAATAATTTATTGTGCTTAACTTTTCAAAAAGATCACATTTTTCTATTTTTCTTCCACATTTCAAACTAATCTCTAAACTCCAAATTCATCTGCAAAGTTTTGGAATCAACTTGAAAGCATGATAAGAACAAGGAAATAGGGGAATAATTATGTAATTAAAAAAGAAGACATCAAAGAAAAGGAATAAAAAATGTTGTGGTTACAAAAGCTCATGGAGTTCGCACGAAAGGTATATAGATTAGAGGAAAGGCCGATGGTAAGTTTGAAGGCTTCTATCGTTAAACCTACAGATGCTCAAGGTAACGCCTCTAGAAAATTTATCTTGTGTGACATTATTGTTAATGTTAACAACAATTAAGTTATTACTGATACAATAGATGTCTTTAATGATTGTGATACTTCTTATCCTAATAATGTGATTGATGTTATTCATAATGTTAAGGCCTCAACTCTGAAATTGGTCCTGATAACCCCATGCATAATGTCCACACCCACTTTAAATCTAAAGATGTTGGCTATAACATTAATGTATGTAAATATGTCACTAAAGATATCAATAAAAAATGTTAATGAAGATGTCAATAAGGATGAACTTGAAAGTGAAGATGTTAATGAGAATGCCATTATCAATGATGACTTTGCTAATGAGATTTCTATTAGAAAATTACCTAGAAAAGGAAAGAAGATTATTCCTAGAAATACAGAGCATGGTGTTGAGGAACTTAACTTGTTACACACATATTGCATGACATTGATGATAATGTGAATATTAATGATAATGATGTAAAGGGTGCTATAAATGTTAAAATTTCTATTGAAAGAAAGAAGCTTCCCAAGAACTCTCCATTTGTTCCTTTTCATTCTGAAGAAAGTAAAATCAAATGGAATTTTGTTTACAATAGGAGGATGGATCTTGACAAAATCTATGTTGAAGCATTGAAGTATAGTGAAATTATGAAGCCTCTTAGGAATGCTCAGTTATTAAAGACAATGTTGAATGTTGGATCTTGTTATCCTAAGTCGGGGAAGGATTTTGTGGTTAAATTTCCTATTAGTTTCCTCTATTTAATGTGTGGTGTAAATAATGATGATATTACTCTCGGGGTGCTGAATTTCAGTTACAAATTATTTGATGGGAAACACATCCATGACATTAGTTTTCCCAAAGTTCATGGTATTGTCAAATTTGGTTTAGTTGGTGATGAAGATATGCCTAATATGGCACCTATGTTTGGGCCGGTGAAAATTCAAATCCTCAAGGAACTTATCCATGAAGCCAAGGCTTTGTAGAAAATCATTGTCATATCCACTATCAGAAAAGGTATTTGTAAAGGTCTTGTTAAAATGATAAGTCTGCAATTAGATGCAATATGTTGCTGCATCACTGGTTTTTTATACCAGGTAGGAACTCATGCTGCCTTGGAATGTGTTTGTTAACCATGTTGAGTCTCATGCCATCCAGCCACCTATTCATGTTTCCTCTTTAATATGTGGTATTTTGAGTGTTCAAAAGAAATACGTTATTATTTGTGATTGTGAGATTGGTGATTCCCCAAGTGTGTGGACTTTGAGTTACAAGTTAATTGTTCGGTACCATGTTGCTGACATTTTGATGCACATTATTGCACCTATTGATGAAACTAATATGGTTTTTGATAAATAAATTTTGTATGTGCTTATGAGAAGCCATATTCTCAAAGGCTTTAATTCATGGTAGTCATAGTCTTGTCTTATATTAAAAAAATTATATGGTCTTCCAAATCTGCTAGAGCTTCTTTTTCTAAAAATGTTGCTACTACTACTGCACTTTTGATGTTTAGATGTGATATATGGTGTATGTGTTTGTGTTCTTGTTCTATGGTACTCATTTCCATTCTAGGTTGTATATTTCTTTTACCCTTTTCCCATTTTGAGGAAATTATTGGAATATGATGATATGATGATATGTAAGAAAGATTGTTTCTTTTATTTGTTGTTCTTAAGAAGTTGTGTGATGCAGATATCTGCAAGTTGAGTATTATTATCTATAAGCTTATTCTTATGGTTGTGATTTACCTAACATGTTTTTGGTTTTGCTGCTCTCTAATTTGGAACAAAGTTGGGAAGAATGTGCATAACATCTTGTCTACTGGCTGGATCTAGTGTTGGTTTGTTGGTTTCTGTGAGGTTTTTCAGTTCTGTCTAGAGTTTTTAATAGCGGCCGCTCCAGGACCTATCTTGGGATTTTATCTTGGTGTTTCAACCCTCAGCTACGGAGGTACGCATCCTAGTTTTGGGTAGCCATCGAGAAAGCTGGGATATCAGGTTGTGGAATCAGAGCGCTTCCCGACCCATAATAGTTGTATGCTTTTAGGGCTTTTTTGGAGTGTGAAAAGATATTTTTACTCTTAAAAAATTTTAAAAAATTGGAAAATTTGTCATAGTCATTTTTATTTTCTCCTCTCTCATTCACGTTTTCACCTTTCTCCATCGTGTTTCTTCTAATCATTGTTTCTCGTGTTTTTGCTTGCTGCATCTCTTGCCCTAACTCCTTCTCCACTTCAACTGCTTCAAGCTTCTCTCTATTCTTCTTCTATTATTATTTTTCTCTACTTTTGTTTTTTGCTTTTCTATTTTGTTCTCTATCATGTTCTTCTCTATTCATAGTTTTTCTATTCGTTTTCAGGTAGTTTTTTTACTTCATATAATTAGTCCAAAAAGTTATTTAATCTACATTGAATATATAGGTAGACTATTCATATATATAGTCCAAAAATTTATCCCGTTTCTTCTATCCCACTATCCCTATCTGAGATTAATAACTCTGGTTCTGGCTCGCTTTGGTTGTTTCTCTGTTGATTGTTTGATTGTGGTTCTCTGTCCTTTGTCTCTTTTGAGGAAAATAGGGGAAATGCACACTTCTCTTTGATTATATTGTTTAAATCTTTACTTGTGCACTCTTTGTGATGCATTCTTGAATAAGTGTTTAATTTGTGCTTTGCCTAAGAAATATCCAAATGAGGAGATTGTTATTAAAATTGATTGACTAATTCTTGTAGGAAACTTGTTGAGAAAGATCTCTTAGACATGTTGTGTGACATCCTGGAGTGTGTATTATACACCTCCAAAATAATTATATTAAATATTTAATTATTTAATTATGAATATTGTTATTATTTGTGATGTATCTATGAGTATATGTGATGTTTTGAAGTATGTGAAGTGATATTGGGTGTTTTAGTAATTTTAGATGACTAGTTTTGATTATTTAGAATTATTATTAATTAAATAAATAAAATAATAAGAGATAGAGATTATGAGGACAAGGTATTAATATTGTAAAGTAAGTGAGGGTTTGATGAGAAGAATATAGAAAGGGTCCAAGGGTTAAACAAGAAAAAGTGAGTGTCGGTGTTCATTCTGCGATTGTGAAAGTGACAAGAATATCGTGAAGAGAGCTAGGGCACTAAGGAAATCAGAAGGTTTTATAGAACATGAAGAGAAATATATTGCTTCAAGGAATCTAAGGTAAGAGGAGTTTATTATTGTTATTATAATTGATCTAAGGTTTAGATAATTGTAGGTTTATATTGGGGTTTTGGGGACAATTTTATTAATATGATGCTTTGATGAAAATTGATGAAATTGTGAGTTTTTTTTTTGCAATAATTTGATGCCTAAGTGAATATGTGATTAGTTGAGACCTGTAATATGAAGAAATCATATAAAAATTGGACTGATATAGTGCAGAGATCGCAAAAGGGAATTCCTAATCGCGTAGGCTCGTCGGGAGAGCGTGATGCTTCGGAGGGCGAAGAAGTCTCGCCCTTGTCATGCCAGACAAGCAGGGGGCAAAGGAAAATGGGTGAAAAAAGAGCCCCTTGAATTTTGTATGGAGAGTGGTGACTCGCTCGAGTTTCCCCGAGCGAAGAAGAAGCGAGAGGTGCTCGCCAAACGAGCTAAGTGCATCGCCGGGCGAGGGTGACGAGTAGAAACTAGAGCCTATGGAGTTTGTATGAGAAGGAAGATGTAGATCCCACCTCGCGGGATGAGCCTCAGGCGAGCAACCTGCTTTGTCGGGCGAGCCTTAGGCGAGGGACAGCAGAAGAAATTTAAAAGTGTCATGACTTGAATTTTTGGACACCTTTTGGCACATTGTTGAAAGCGTTAGGAAGCTAAAACGGTGAAATATAGTGGAATAAATTGAGTCACATTAGGCATTTTCCAATGTCTTTGTTATGAGGGATAACATGTTTTGGTGATTGCTTTATTATGATGTGTGTGTATATGATGAATTGGTGTTGTTATGACGAAGACATGTTTAATAAGAAGTATGTGATGATTTTATGATTAATTATATGAATGATGATGCGTTTGACTAGCAGTGGTCATGTTTTTATTGAGATGTTTTGCATCATACATTCATGGCATAGGTTATAACTTCGGTCTAATGATGTTGTTAGGACGATTGGTTCAGTAATGGTGATAGGACTTTAGTCAAGTGATGAATTCAATCCCATAATGTGGATTGATTGCAATTCTATGATATGCTCTGGTTCCAAGTGGGAATCGATCCTATTGGTGGGTGTAATACGGTGGGAGAACTGACTTGTTTTGTGTTTTATTGTAAATGTTGCAGATAGCTAGAGTCGTCGCTGACTTTTCTTTTATCAAATAAGGAAAGGGTGAAAAGAACAAGAAAGACCTTGAAGATTTTGAGTTAGGGGGATAGGTTATGAAAAGGGAAGGTGTTAGCACCCTTTTCATCTGTAGTTATCTACGGGCTCTTAATCGCTAGCTCACTTTTGAAATTTTCTTTTTGTGTGTATGTTTGAAAATATTTTAAAAAAATGCCATAGTGAGGCCGACTTTATAATGATTCTTATACCAGTCCTTAAGAATGTGTACAAAGTATTTTTGAAAATATTTTGAAAGTGTTTGTGAAATGTTTTCTTTTTGTGAGCAAGTGATTAAAAGTATCTACCCACTCAAGGTCGTTCTTGTACTTTTGCTTCTCCTTTAGATAGTGCTATATGTACCATTAGTTAATAGGAAGCTCTATCGTTGGATGTGAAGGGACAGGCGCCGGGTCATCATACAGTCATTGAAGGCAACTGGTAAGGACGCTTTGGCAATTTTCATAAGGGACTAGATCATTCCTCGAAAGGCAATGCCGAAGGGTCATCGAGGGACTATGATCTTTGATTCGAGGGACTTTGCTAAAATGTACCCACTTTTGAGGGACATGACTGTTTTTATTTCGAAGACAACTAAGGAGGTTACCCTAGATGTGCAAGTGTGCAAATGTATTCAATTCAGTTATTTTATCTTTGCAGTTAGGGTTTTCTATCGTTTGTTTTTAGTCTTTCCATACAAATCCTAGTTAGTAGTAGTAAATATAAAAAAAACAACAAAGGTGCGGAAATTAAGGCAGAAAATATAAACCTAAACTATTACATCCCTTTAGGGCATATACGTAATAGTGAAAGCAGAAAAGAAATCCTATAACTATTATATCCTGGGAGGCAGATACATAATAATGAAAAATAAAGTGAGAAATCTATGCTACTTACAAATTGCGAACCCTATACACTTTATCTAATAAAATTAAAACAGAGGGAAAAAAGCCATGTTTTTGAATATTTTTAATGAATTAAACCTAGGAATATAATTACTTTTAATTAAAAAACAAGTTATTAAAAAGTTAATCAAAAGAAAGTTAATTAAAAAAAAGTCAATTAAAAGAAAGTTAATTAAAAACCTAGAAAAACTAATTAATTTTATTTTAGAAAAAAAAATTTAATTAAAAAGGGTAAATTAAAAGAGGTAAAACCTAATTAGGGTTTGTAAAAAAGTTGTGGTTAAGTGAAATTAGGGTTTAAGGGAAGAAAATAAGGGAAAGAAAACAAGTTAGAATAAAACCAAACAAAACTGTCAGGGGTGGGTATTGAACCCACGCCCTTAGCCTTCCCACCAACAAGGTTCACCACTGCGCCAAGGGTGCGCTGGTGTTAGAAAAACGTGCATCATTCAATATGTAATCAACCTGTAAGGATTAGGAAAATATGAAAAAATAAATGTCAAAAGCAGGGATCGAACCCACACCTTATTATACAAATGCCTTAACACGCGCGCTTCTACCATTGGGGTGGCTATACATCTGGTAACTTAATCAAATTAATGCATATATATTATAAATCAGATCAGGATGGCCGGAGAAGCGCCGGAGTCCTAGCTCCTGTCGTTTTCTCTGGTAAGTATATTTTCCAAACCTGCAAAATGAAGCACATTAGAAAGAAAGAAAGGCCATG